AGAATTCATTATACATCGATTACACCCTTACATCCCTTTTATAATTGACGTATATTTGTTATTAATAATATTCCCACCAACATAGAGACCAACATCGAAATTATTAGATTGACGAGTTTGGATTATCGATGAACTATAGATGCTGGACAATACAATGTTTAAAGAAAAAAGTATGACAATAATAAAGTATATTACATGAAATATCACGAAAAATATAAAAGTAAATTATTCTTAAATAAATTATAAACATGGAGATCGGAATGATGCAGACGCGTATGCAAACGTAAAAAGAACAGAAGAACATAAAATACACCAAGACAAATCAAATATCCAGAGTATTATATCAACAAACTAACCTGCTGAGAATAATATCCTTGTCGGTTTGGCGTTGCAGTGTATCCTGATATCCCATTGTTATACCTAGCGTTATCAACCCATTGATTTGCCGTTTGTTGGACTGGCTGAACCTGGGTAACTGGCTGAACTTGTAATTGTTGATTTTGTTGTGATTGTTGTAATTGCTGTGCTTGTTGTTGGTAGGTTGCTAAAGTATTCTGACCCTGTAACGTAAATTTAAGATTTAGGGAGAAAAGGATCACATAGTTTTTGATTTGTTCTGCCGTTAAAATATGTGAGAAATAATCGAAGATGATTCTTACAATAGCTCCACTTAAGAAATTAGGATTAATATGAATATGCCTTCCGACATCTATTGATCCGCGTGATTGCATCCTCTGTTGCTTCAGTAGAGCTCTTTCGATTTGACCAGTTACTTCAGTTGAATACACTGGTGCACCTGTTGGGCCACTTTTCCATGTGGCTAAAACTCGCTCAAGTTTTTGTTTCGTTGGTTGATCTACGACATCATACGTATCCATAAAGGTATTACAAAGGTTTCGAGCGAATAATTGGATATATATACCACCAACATTTTTGCTAATAGAATCAAGGAGATATAACACGGGTAGCTTGTGTGGTGGCGGACACTTTACGTGTAAAGATATAAAAAAAGAATTCG